TCGTCACACACCTCCTAGCAGATAATAATGTGAGGCTACTCACAAGAAAAGGACCTCAGGGTTCATTTTTGGTGTTTCATCTACCAGGCTGATGCCTTCCGCATTGCCGATAACGTCCTGCAGACATTCCCGAAGCAACTTGCTCTTGATGTCGACAACAGTTGCTACATGTTTTCCTTCCCAGTCGAACTTTCTTCTGACATGGAAGATGTATTCGTCGTACTGGGAATCGGTGTCTGTGTCGGCTGTGTCCTGAAGTTTGAAATTGTGTATGCTGTTGTCCCACACCTGATCCACGCGTTTAAAGGCAGGACCCTTAGGCTTTTTCCCCTTGAACTTCAACTCGCCACGCAAGTAATCATTAGTAATACTATCCCGGTCACTACCTTCGAGAGCTGGTATTCCTGAAAGTCGCATGGGTCGACGTCTGCGAGGATTATAGTGAACAAGTGGTCGACGACCAGTGAGTAGTGGATCGAGATCAGCTACCTGTGAAGCCAGAGGATTTTGGATAGAATACGGCGAAGTCGACGAACCAAAGGAGGCAAAGGCGCTTGGGTTAACGGATGAAGCCAGGCCATTAGAGGCGCCTAGCTGCTGCTGCAGCTGAGCAAACTGGAGTTGGAGCGCTCTGAGTTGGCCCTCGAGGCCTGAAGAGGACTTGGTTCGGTCACTTTTCTCACCAGGGTCCTCATTATCAGAAGATTCGGGATCGGACGAATCTGAACCACTGTCCGAATCGGAAGCGGTGTCAGAGCAACTGCCCGCCTTGTTCTTGTTGCTTTTTTTCTTTGGCTTCTTCTGCTTCTTAGTGGAAGCCTTGGAGGTCTTTTTCTTGGAAATGATACTGTTGGCTCGTTCCTTCTTATTCTTAGTAGTGCCATTGACTCCCGAATATTGCTTGGCAGCAAGTGTTGCGGTTTCTGAGGCTTCATCATCATCCGAAGTGGATTCCTCTTCGCTGGAAATACCAGAAGCCTCAGCTTCGTCTTTCACTGAAGCCGGCTTGGTCTCTTGCCTCCTTTCCTTCTTCTGCTGCCTACTCTTCCTCGAACAAGAACCACTCTTAGAAGTTCTTTCCACCGAGTCTGAAGGGGCCGCAGCAGGGGCTGATGGGTCAACGTCATTAGCCATCGTGGTATCTGCCTCTTGCTGGCCAGACCTCTTGTTGTGTTTTGGACCACTTTGACGATCAGAGGGAGTGATCGAATCTGTCTGCTCCATATTGATTTTGATGCTGGCGCGTGACACAAGTATCTTGCTGCAGTCGATTGAATCGAGAGAGCGTTGGCGAAATAGCAAAGTTGAGTTGTCTCAAAGCGATCTTTTGAGTAGAGCCGGTGCTTGGTTACCGGAGACGGATTTGGAAGATTTCACCATAGAATACAGAAAATAGTGCTGGGTAAAAGACTGCTGGTTGAGGAGGTTCGTTTGAATGTCAATACTACTACTGGTATCGCATTCATGTATGAATGGGACATCAACAAGATGAGAGAGAAAGTACGGAATGGAATGTTTTAAAAGAAGAAGTAGGCGGGAGGAAGAAGAAAAAGAAGGGGAAGGAGGAGAGGGTGCGCGCACAAGTCCAGGCTACAAGCGAATGGACGGCGTGAGGCAATGAATAACAGTGCTAGTGCATGGAAGTGCCAGACAGATGCAGATGCAGATACAGATACAGAGGTCAACGAGCCAACTGCATCTTTGGCTACTAGGTACCAACCGGGGCAAGCCTCAGGGAGCAAGAAAACTTTAGAATATATTTAAAGAGGCCAGAACAAACTTACCCAAGGACTATGTGAAACTTATAATAACTTGCCTGGGTGTTTTTATCCCTTGAGACTGAGATGTCAAGCTTTCTTGCCTCTCCTGGCTCAAGCAGGCACCAAAAGATGTACGCAGCAGCCACAAAACATCCATGCATAGAATCAGTTGGTTCTGTACAAATTGATTGGGTAAATGCGTGTGGTTTAACAAAAAGCATTCCACCACTTGTTAGTTTACATCGAATCCCTGGCGGATGTTGCAGATGACACTGAATATGACTGTCCGTCCACTTGCATACATACATCCATCCTAGGCAGCCAATGCATTGTTGATCTTTTCCACTCATGTGAGTACCAAAGTACAGTAGGACCTTCAGTCTTACTCAAATTAACAATATTATTGAACCTCCACTTCCAAGGCACCCGTGGAACCTTAGACCTTGGTATACTTCATCGTCGTTTGAGGTTCTCTTGCAACGTCCACAGCCCCCAGATGATCTTCCACCTCCACTACCCTAGTGCTCCCGTCCCCCAAAAGCGCTAAAATTCGTTGGTGGGTCTGAGGCCATCAGGGAGGTACCCACCACCGATTTCCATTGACAGTTGATCGTCAAACCTCGTCAGCCTCAATTTTGATCCATGTCTGTAAATTCAGGGTCGCACTGCAGGCCAACGGCATCCGAACAAGCACTCTCAAAGTGTAGAAACTCCTTGGCACGATCTTACCAACTCTTTACACCGCAGAGCTCAGGTCTCGCTCCCACTTCTGATCCAGTAGCTTCCATGGTGATTGCACACCTTGCCAACAGGCAAACCGCCTCACCTTTGCTCCACCCAATAGGCATCTACAGTTCAACAGTCAAGCTGAATTTGTTCATAAATCTCTGACTGTGTAGTAACCCATCATCATCCAAATGATGCCTACCATGCGGGGACGACACCGAATTTGCCGGCCAAGAGAACTTTCTGAGGGTTAGTGTTGAAGTACAGGGCCTCAATGTCGAGCTGGCAAAGTATCAGATGCCAGTAGCCCGTGATAGCAAAATGAAGTGCAACACGAGCGGTAAGACGTTCCATCGATCAACAGCCCTCGTATCGGTGCAATGTTGAGATCCTAAATACGATAAATGACAGAATGAAGTCCGCGAGATGGACCTCTTTTTACTGCAGCAACCCACATGTGGTGCTTGTGTTTGTCGGTAGGTATACATCCAATCCATTTTCAACCTCTCCCCGCAGCCAATAGACACTCCGCAGTATTCTTACCACCAAGGATTCAATGTGTTGGCCATGTCTCGACAGCGACCACAACAGGAAGCGGCCAGCGAACGCCATCCGCAGTGTTACTTCATCGGACTGGCAGGACGAGAATCGGAGGCTGCATAGGTAAGGTAGGTTAGTAGGTAGATACTATCGAGGCAGCAAGTTCGGTGTGGAGTGTGTATCAGTGAGTCCAAAGCTGTTGATGCGATGTACAAGATTATGCTATTCATGTTATTGGCACGACGTGCTGGCGCTACATAGGACATGCCAGAAGAGAGGCCAAACTTGGGCACTTCCTCGAGCATATCGAACAGAACGGGTTGCGAGGACTTTGAGGTAAAGTCGAGAAACCAAGTCACAAGATTGGATGCTTGGAATTACGCGGCGTGCTCGATAACATGGTCACGGACGGAATTGAAGACCGCCTTGAACAAAAAGCGCGTCTATGTATATATTCCCAGAAAACATGGAATGGGCTTGCATCGGGGATCGGATCATCGATTCAGCATTGACCATGCCATGTTTCCTTAACACAGTAAAACCTGCTCGCGAACCACAGCCCCTCCACGGAAGAAGACAAGCTCATAAATCAGAGCCATTGACATTACTAAAATGTGTGGTTTCTTGATCTATTGGATGCAGAAAGAGACCTACCTTCCTTTATCCCTGCTACGGCGAGTCCAAACCTAAGTACAGTAGGCTTCTCTTGAGCTGTAGGAACATTGCTTGCTTGCTCGCATCCTAAGGTTTTGACGATCTTGGATGGACTGCAAGAAATTAAGCTACCTACCAATGGAGCTAAACCTAGGCCAAGCTCAACTTGGCGATGGATGGAACAAAGCAAGCTGCTCAAGCATGGGAAGCACGGACGGTCGCAGCGTTAGTGTGTTAGTGGGCCAATTACCAGCCTTTGCGACGTCATCACCGTCGCAAAGATAGCTCCTCCTTCAGCTATACCAGGTTTGGGTTGGATAAACCTTGAGGGCTCGAGGGAAAGAACTTGGAATGAATTGGGCTAAGGGACCTTGGAAGTTGGAGGGAGAACCTGTGATTCTCTCTCCTCCATCTCCTCCATCTCAATTGAAGGGGGCTTGTCTACCTACGCTGAACTGAACGGAACCGGACTGAACTCGTGCATGCTGCAATCAGCCGTCAATTGCTGTACGACAAAGATCCTCCTGAGACAGCATCGCTTCCGGATCCAAATTTAGTCTGATCCATTGCGACACAGCATTTGCGTGTTTGTTTTGGAGGCCGGCAGATCCCCAAGACCATAGTCTACGCGATATCAATTCTTTGCTGGGACCCTTCGGCGTCACGGCTCTTCGTTTGCCCTCCAGCGTCGCTTTTCGCATTCAAGACATATTCCGAGCCACACATTCACAGCTTTCATCATGCCCAGCACATGGAACCGCTTCAAGAGCCTCTTTAGTGATGGAACCACCAGCCGACGCGAGTGGCTCCATGAGGAGGAGAGAGCCCGTGTGTTATCCCATCGATGCGAAACCTGGCTATCAGCTCACATACCATAGTTTTGCCTAGCCATCGGAACCAGAACATCGCGTCTGCTATCCCTCCGGCCGAGGTCATGAAGGTTTGCCTGCGATTGCGACATTTGATCCGCGAATGCGTCCCTTGCGAGCTTGAAGAAAGTGCTATCACGCGATCCCATAGCACTGTCATCACCAGCAAGGTTGTACAGGCGGCTAAGGAAGCTGGCGGCCAGAAATACCGATCATGCGTTGTACGTTAAGCACTCTTGCCTGATGCTCGATGCCTTCGTTATGCTGACTTTGCGTTGCGTAGGTGTATGCCCTGCTTGTTAATATGCGTTGGTTTAAACGCGAAGCCATTCTCGAGCTATGGGATGCCGATCTCCACGATTTGCGCGCTGTTGCCTGCACTGTCATCGCCAAGCAGATGTGAGTTTTAAAATGATGTCTCCGTTACCAATTGCACCTGGCTTACTCGAACTAGTATCGAGGGAGAGGAGGATATCGATTACCTCCTGCATCACGTTCTTCTCCGTCGGTACTCTTTCCTCATTGACCAGGTCCCTACAGCCCCAACCAATGTCATTGAGAAGGCTGTCGACCTACACGCAGTTCGGGTCATTGGCTCCTCTGGTTATCAGAAATGCATTGCCTATCTCTGGCGTGGCTGGCTAGTCCAGGACGAAGATGATCCCTCCGAGTTTGTCGACTACAAGAACAAAGCAAACACCAGCCTAGTTGTCCACATGGACCCCGATCGTATGCGTGCACCTCGCTACCAGAATGCTGCCCAGTTGCTATTCTCCATCATATATCTTGGTCTGTACACGGCCGCAGTCAACTCTGCCAATGCATCAGGAGTACTGGATGGTGCTGAGATTGCGCTCTACATCTTCACCTTTGCCTATGTCTGCGACGAGTGCCTCAAATACTACAAGGCTGGTTACCACATCCTGGGATTCTGGAATGTTTTCAATTTCGTCCTTTACTCCTTCTTGACTGTATCATTGGTTCTACGCATCATAGGACTGGCATACAAGGACAATGATGATGTGCATAAGAAGTACAACGAGCTCAGCTATAATCTGCTTTCTTTTGTTGCGCCCATGTTTTGGTCCCGCCTCTTGCTCTATTTCGACAGCTTCCGTTTCTTCGGCGCCATGCTAGTTGTGCTGAAAGTTATGATGAAGGAATCTCTCATCTTCTTTGCCTTGCTTATCGTTGTCATCATTGGCTTCCTCCAGGCATTCATCGGTCTCGATATTGCTGATGACAACATTATGGGCGATACCTGGTTCATCATTGAGTCTATGCTCAAGGCTATCATGCAGAGTCCCGAGTTTGATGGTTTTGATGATTTTGGGCATCCATTCGGTCTGATTCTCTACTACTGCTTTACTTTTGTTGTCATGGTAAGTTGGTAACAACCTGTTCTAGAGAGTCAAGTTAACTCAATATTTTAGATTATTCTCCTCAATATCCTCATTGCACTTTACAACTCGGCCTACGAGGATATCTATGAGAATGCCGATGACGAATATCTCGCACTGTTTGCGCAAAAGACGATGCAGTTCGTCCGAGCTCCTGATGAGAATGTTTATATCGCCCCTTTCAACCTGGTCGAGATCGTCATTTCGGGACTGTTTGAGTGGTGGGTACCAAAGTCCACTTACGAATTCATCAATGACTGCGTCATGGCTACTCTATACTCCCCTCTTCTCTTTATTGCCGCCATTTTCGAGAGGCGATCTGCACGAAAGATTCGACACAACCGCTCACGAGGCGAGGAGGACGACGATCAGATCAATGAGTGGGAACAATTTCACGAGGGCCTTGACATGGAAGGTGAAGGCTGGACCAAGACTTGTGAGGCCGTCAAACCTAATGTGGAAGACGAGCCTGCTGTCATTGAAGTCCGCAAGCTGCGAGCTGAGATGGAAGAACTCAAGGCGATGATTTCTCAACTCACAAACACCAAAGTAAGTGATGATGATACCATAACGGGCTCAAAGAATGGAAAGGAGCTAGCCGCTGAAGACAACGATACCCAAGAGATCTCCGAGGCCGCTGAGACCCAGGATGCGCCAGACACGTCGGATACCCCAGAGGGAGAAGGGGCTTCTGGTGATCAAAAGCAGGGCAAGAAAAACAAGAAGAAGAACAAGAAGAAGGGCCCAGGCGGATCCAGTAACTAGAGGTTGGGGTCAGGCAGTGGCTGATGTGCTTTGCAGTACGTTGATGGGGTATTATTGGCAGACCTTTGTTAGCTTTGACTCTTGTACGGCTTTGAAGACCTCGTCCAGTAGTAAATATAATTCATTCAATAGTGGTTAAAATCGAAACCATGCTTAACATACATAACTGTAAGCCAGTAACTTGTGGGGACAAATTCTTTGGTTACTACTGGAGCTGGGGCTTGACTCAGGATGTAAGCCTTCGACGTATCGTTGAAGGACTTACGTAAAGCGACGCATCATGAGATTCGTTCCAGGACACGCTAGTTTCAACAGTCTTAATATGCACTCGATACTAAAGGACTTCTAATTCCATGTTTGTCTCTGCCTCCTGTTTGATCTATTTCTCAAAGAGGTGCAATGCCGGGAGAAGTTCTATTGAATGTGCTACTTAAGAATAGCCCTTATAAAGCCGTGTTTCATGTTGCAAACGCCAACAAAAGCTAGCCTATCATGCTCATTACGTAGAAAACCACGAGCCAAGCCAAAGATGCTTGGTCGTAAATTTGGACGGCAGGGTGTACCATAACAGTCGTAGACAACCGTTACTCAGGTTGAGTTTGGGACGGTATTGGGGGAAACATATTGGTCTGTCCTGCCCTTGGGCGTCAATGATCACATAAGTATGATTCATATTCTTCGCAGAGCTTCACATCTGGCCCTTTCTATGCAGATCCTTCTTTCGTGGGTGGGAACATTCGTCTAAAAAGAAACCGTTAGCATGCGGTTGAGGCATCAGGGATAACAAACTTACGGAATCGTCTCGTTGTACGCATTCACATCAGGAGCAACAAAAGTGACAAATACCACCCGGGTGAGCTTGCTTCCCTCGTCACTCTCAAGGAACTCTCTCACAGTCCTGCAGGCGATCTTAGCGGCAGGAAGATTGGGAAACCCGTAAACGCCGGTGCTGATGGCGCTGAAACCGATCGTGGTCACGCCGTTCTTGACGGCAAGCTTCAAACTTTCGCGGTAGCAATTGGCGAGACTTTCATTAGGGTTCGTGTCTGCAGCGTACACAGGTCCAACGGTGTGGATGACATGCTTGGAGGGGAGATTGTAGCCCTTTGTGATGACGGCCTCGCCAGTGTTAATGGGGCCGAGGGTCTTGCACTCCTTAACCAGATCACTGCCAGCGGCCCTATGAATGGCTCCATCAACGCCCCCTCCACCTAGTAGAGATCTGTTCGCGGCGTTGACGATAGCATCAAGGCGAAGCTTGGTAATATCACCGCGAATCAAACCGATGCGCTTGTTGATGGAATCAGATGCAGGATAGTCAGGGTCGCTTCTCGATGAGAGATGAGCCTCGGATAGGGCAGAGTCAGGGTCGCGATAGAGAGAGGCGAGGGTCGGAATATCGCTGAGACCTCTAGTAGCAGCCATTGTGATGAATCGTCTGGCGAGCATACACGGAGAAGAGCTGTGGTGGGGTTGTCGATGTCAGTCTCTAGGACTGCAGAGGTGGTCAGAAGAAAACTCTAGAGAAAACGATAGGGCATTTATGTACCTGGAAAGGCAGTATGAGATGCCCGTCTTCTCTTTTGCTGCAAGTGATATCAGAAGCCTTATCGCACTCTGCTTTGGGTGTGCTATGATGCAATTGAGTACGCCCTTGAGTCGGTACTCAGAAAATAGCTTAACAAGGAACAGGGCTCGTGTCGGGAAGATGTGAAGGAGGGAAGTCAAAGAGAGCCGAGTCAGACTGCGGAAGGTAGTGGTCTTTGTTATTAGGTATTCTTGTTCTTGCAACTTGAGAAGGTGACAATGGGAAGCAATAACTTCCATGGGGATGGGACGGGGAGCCCCATGCCAGTGAATGAATGGCCCTACAGGTGGGGCATGTTCTGGAAGCTTGGATCTTTGGATGGAGGGGCAACATCCACCATCCGCAGTGGGCCCGGGCCTAGCACTACAGGGGGTGACATAAAACTTGCAGCATATGACAAAAATGCTTAGTCAGTAAGTCACGTCCTCAAATGCTTTGTCCACCAAGCTCTTTTCGTCACCCGTTTTAAATGTCTTATGCTTTTTGACACCCAAGGGGCTACCATGTTCCAAGGCTTCTAAATTACGATCGAACAAGCCTCGATCTCACCTACATACTCGCTAGGGGTTAGTCTTCGATTAACGACTAAACTACCTGCAGCGCAGAGAACTCTAAAACCACAACCTGGAATGCTCCAAGTCTTCCAAGTTGTTGGTGGGTGAAGAGCACCTCTAGGCTGAAAGTCCTGTGACCAGAGTTGCGACGCATTCCTCGGTCTTGAATGTTGGTCAAGATGCGATTCCCGAAGCTCTGTTTCAGTCAAGGAAAAGTGAGGACATAATGAGGCAATAAAATACTAAGTTATAACACGAATTCCGAATACCTAAAAGCAGATCCAACAACATTCAAACCATACAAACATCAATACAGATCTCCCCCAAGCTAAGCCTTGCTACGGTCTCAACCCAAACCAAACCCCTTGTTCATTCTTTGGCTTCCTTCTCCTAAACTCTGGGCACTCTGCGCTTCTTCGGCTTCGATTTGTGAACACGTCTCATGGCCTTAGGCATCTCCAATTTCTTCTTCCTGGATAGAAGATGTACCCAGCTTGACCTTCGCTTCAAATCATATCCCTTTTCTCTTGCCTCAGACTTTTCGAATGCTGCGATCTTGCTAAGCAGCTCCTCCTCAACATCGGACAACCCAATGAGTGTCGTTTCGCTACTGCTGCTCTCTCTAGTCCGTTGCTCTTCATCGTCGGATACGTCTGTCTCACTGCTGCTGTGATCAAAATGCGACAAAACTGTGGCTTTACGTCCTTGGCTTAAGCCCCCGGTCATGTCAATATCCTGGCTGTCTCTGCGAGTTGGTGATGTAGAAGACTGAACCACAGGTGCATCCCCAGTTGCTGCAGGAGGCGGGCTCTGCCCAGGTTGATACTGTTGCTCCCAAGCTTGGGCAATATCTCCCAGAGGACCAGCCACAAAAGGAGAGTCTTGATCCTGTACCACTTCTCGAGGATACTCGTTGGCGAAGGAGGCGGGATTTCGCATGGGTAGCTTGGCTTGGGCCATGTTTTGAAGATCCACTGTGAGGTCCTCTCGAAGTGCATATGGCTGAGGCGTGATACCGTGTGCGACAGGTGGTACGTCTGCGAGCCGATGGTTGACCCAAGCAGCCAGGTCTCCTGTACTGTTTGCTGCCCATGCAGGGGGTTGATTGAGTTGGGATCGAGGAAAGGGGGAGCTAGTTCCCGAGGAGAAAGCCGAGAATGGAGAATTATTTGCTTTGAACTCCTTCACGCTATTCAGCGGCACTGCCTGGTTGCTGAAACCCACCTCCTGGAATTTGGGTGGGATCGGAAGTACAATTCCAGCTTGTTCCGCTGCAGTTCTCTGCAAGGTTGGGGCTTCACTTTGCTTGCGATTCGTGATGCGGTTCAGGATATCGGCTTGTGCGTCATTTTCTTCTTCTCTGAGCTGATGGACCAGATTCTTCACGGTATCGATATCGAAAATACCTGTAGATGGTCCTTTGATGCTTTTCTCATGGTCATTTCTGCCTCGATCATCATCCAGCGTTCCGGACAATCGCTGAGCAATGCTCAGTACGTTGGGGTCACCTCCTGGGATGACCACTTTGTAACTTCCAAGGCTGAGTTCTCTCTGGAACCGGCTTTTGAACTCTTTCATTTTTTCCAGTTGGCTTCCTGTGAGTTTCATCATCTCCTTTTTTGCCAAAAAGTAGAGTCTCTGATGGGGCTTGCGTTTGGACTTGCGCAACATAGGCATCGATAACAAGAGGTCGCGCCAATTGTGCTCGTAGTTCTGGGTATCCAACTCCAAGAGTCGTCGAACGTCCTTGGCTCTTCGGCCTAGGTTCCATATTCGATTGAACCACTCTGCATCAATACTCTTGATTCGCCGATCAGCAATTCCGATGGGAGTCAACAAGTCGGTTATGTATTCAATCATCGTATCAACTCGATAGGGCAATTCTCTATCATGCCCCATACTGTAAAAGCGGTAGAGCGGCCAACTTGAGGTTCCTGATTGGTATAGTTCACATACCATGCTTTCGATGTGCATGAGCTCCCTTTCTACACGGCGCGTAAAGTCCATGAGTCTGGGTAGCAGACGCCTTTCATGAACCTCAAGACCGCTATATCGGGTGTTTTGAGCCCAAGTCTCTGGGTCAGAAGACAAGCTGTCAATGGAAGCGGATTGGGCGTCAGGATACCCCCCTCGTCGGGCGATTGCACCCTTCCACAAGTTGTACAGAGAATCCAGGACGTCATCTTGGGCCTGGCTTTGAGATGGTTGATATGTGTATGCCGAGATCTCACAGAGTATCATGAGTATTTCTCTACCCAGACGCTTCCAGATTTGATCTCGATGAGTCCAAGTCATCATGTCAGAGGCGAATTGCGCATTCATCAAATCAAATTCGCAGGCTTCGTTGATCAAGTTGTTCAAATAACTCCACAGCACGAGATTTCCTCTATCGCCGAGCTCTCTCATGAAGTCTTGTACCCAGGCCATGTCTTCCTCAGTGCCTAGAGTATTCTCTCCAAAGTCGTACTTGTTATAGTTTTCATCAGCAGGATAGTAGTTGAGCTTATGAGGCTTTTTGGATGGTTCTCTTAGAGCAGCCGTGCCATATTTCTGGATTGCAACATCCCAGAAAGACTGGGTGAAATATTTCTGAACATCTTCGGTTCGAGTATAGTGGTTGAGCCTTACATTTCGAAGCAAGGGGTACTGCAGCACAGGGGGTTCATTTCTGTCACCCTCGGAATTTTGAGTGAAAGCTACGAGACCAGCCGCCGTCTGGAGCAGTGCAGGTTTCAGCATAGATATGTCTGATGCAAACGACCAATAGCCACCTCCCAGGACCTATCGAATAGTTTCATTAAGCAATGCTATATTGGGAATATATGAACACGGTGCTCGCACTTACAGTTTCTTCGAAAACATGGCCAACCTCTTGATGGGGGTCTTCATCATAATAAGGCTCACCATGGAGGTCTTTGTGTCTGCGATCGTACATTGAATGCACGAGATCATAACAGGCCTTGACTTGGTCCTGGTCAACTATTCCAACCGTTGCAGGATCAGCTAACCACATGAAGGGAATCCTGGCAAATGCATGCTGTCATACTATTAGTCGGAGAATGCCAATGAGTAGGTTATCTGGACTGTCGCTCACCATCATCTCGTGGGCTATAGTAGTTGCGAGTATCAGGCTGGCCTTCAACTTTTCGCTGCTGCTGTACGCATCATTGATCAAGGGCCAAACCAACTCACAGTCGATTGCGACCCTCAAGTTATATTTCCATGGGTATGTGATCCACGAGTCTGTATTGCCTGCGGAGTGATCTCTTTGTTGCTTTCCTCCACAAATGAAACCACTAGCTAGTTCGATCTCGATTGTTTGAAGCAGGGCTTGCCACGTAGCTGCCCTGGGGTTTATACCACTGTCAATGACAGCTTTTGCTCCCTTGAGTCTAGATGGATCATTCGGGTCCAGGTCTGGAACGAATTTAATCTTCGTATCTCGGTCTTGTCCGGGTTGATTCTGGAAAAGTCTACGGTCGAGCCAGAGTCTGTTTGTGATGTCTAGAAGACCTGAGATAAAGGGGTCATCCGCCTCAATAAACCGCGATGCGAGTTGAATAGCCGGCTGCATCGCATTCCAGACGCTGTCGTTGGTCTTCAACGATTAGTGTCATGCGTCTTTGGTTCTTTGGTTCTGATACATACCCTCGGGTTCCATTCTTCACGTCTCCCATTGAGATTATATATCAAACGAGGCTTGTCAGCCGTTATGCCATTGCAACTGGTGTCGACCCATCTTTCACGCTCGAAAAGTCTTCAATGACACGTCAGCACAAGCTCAAACAGCCCATGTGTCCAACTTACTCTGAGATGTAGCCCCCGAGGCTGTCAAACTTGGTATCGCACGTCGAGAAATATCTTTCGGCTTGTAACTGAGACTTGTTAGATATGGCTAGAGGAACAAAAAGAGCAAGAGTATACGAGAGTCTGTGTACTCACTTCATCCATAGTCAGGCTCCCGAAAAGGATGGTCTGCCAGTTTTCATCTATGACTAGATCTTCATACTGTTGCATGAATCGTTGTTCGGTTTCATCCAACTTTTGCATATCTGGCCTTGTCCTCTCCATGTAATCGTCTACGTGCTCGTTTGCTGCTTTGGCCAGATCTTCGAAACGTCCAAATAGTTCCTTTCCATTTCGAATATCAGAGCTAGCAGGAAAGATTTGTCGACTCTCAGCTCGTGTGGGTGATGTTCTCGAACGACCATCGGTTCGACCAGGAAAAATCCCGAATCGTTGAGCGTAAACAGTTGGTTTCTCGAAGCGGTCTCGAGGCAGAA